ATATGTGCTGAGATTGTGTCGGACTCCAAGTTATGAGGACTGATGAGACTCTCAAGATAAGTGGAGCAATCGACACGCTAAACTACTTTACTCCCTGTTATTAGTTCAGGCACTGATGCAAACCAATCTTGAAGCAACATTTTGCACTTTGAATGGGAGAATCGCATCCCGAACATGCTTGCCTTGTTGCCTAATGTGGTTAGAAAACTCTGCATTTTGTCAGCGTCTTCACCAAACAAAACTATATCATCTGCATATTGCAAGTCAACAAATTAATTTCCTGATAGAAGGTCAAATCTTTTTTATTACTTTACACGAATGCGTTACTTTCAAATGAGATAGTGTAGTCCTTTGAATAAGGTTAATGACTAATTGAACTGGTTTGAGGGTGTGCTTACCTTCTGGTGAGCAGAAGCACAATTCGTTTGCATTGGAAAGCCAGTGGAACTTCACCGTCTGCGTCTGCGTCGAGATTTTTTTTTGCGATTTACTTAACACAGACAATGACGTTGTTTATTAGTGATGTAAATACATATATAGTTCTTGTGATATGACCGAGAATTTTATCTGTCACATGCTTTCATTGCTCTTTTTCGTAAAAAAAGACTGCATAACTTGTAAGACATTTGTCATTCATCATTTTCAGTGACCGATGTGCCCAATAGTTCGTTGGTAAATGAAGCTGATATTCTCCCTCTTTAACATCAATACGTTGGGATGCACTTCCACTTATTACACTATTATCACGCTTAGAAGAGAAATCTGTGACTGGATTGTTGGATTTGGATTTGAAAGTTAATGAAAATCTATGCTCAGAAAGATTGGAAGATGAACGTCGACAACTGGATATTGATAAAAGTTATCTCACGGTATCACTTTGTGTTTTATCTTGTTATATTGTTCGCCGTTTTAAATTTTTTTAGTCTTTGAATCTATGTGCACTTACTTTGACTGTATAGGATGAATGACGGAGACTTCTAGGAGTTACTATTTTTATCATTTCACATCGATTTAATACTTAAACGGAGGATGAAAAAATACGAAGCAATAAAGTTTTATTCTATCGTTCAGCTGTAGATTATCAAAGAATGCAGTGTTTGTGCAGATTTGAATCATGCTGCATTGGCCTGAATTTTGTATCTTCGAGTGAGTAGTGTCACTAGTTCTCACATCCAATGTATGATTTTATGACTGAATAAACAAATCGAATTTGATTGATAACTGATTGTTTTTGAAATTATTCTCAAACTGAGTCATGCACATTCAGAATAAGTCCTATTCATGTTGAGTTGGTTATCTGATTATTTTTCGTGGGAGTTGTAGCATCGTTGAAGCCATGTTAAAACCGATCATTTCGAAGCCTGCTATTTTTTCCTTTGTGATTCCATTAATCTCAGCTAAAAATCTTTTATAGAGAAGCAGTACTTTGTAATTTACGATAATTTTTCAAGCACTCAATCGTTATTGTAAATTAAGTCAGAGCTTATTAATGAGAAGGATTGTGAAAAATACTGCAATTCTTTTTGTTTTCGACCTTCTCTTTTAGCTCCGGTACACCAATTATTGTGTAGTGTTTGTTATTGGTGATAACAACGCATAAATACTCATTCTCTCTCATCAATTTTTTCTTTGTTAACCAACCGAACCACATAAGACGACGACTCAATGACCGGCATTTTATCGATGTGAAAACATGAAGGTACCATTTTGACAAACTAATTTAGCTCAATACTATTAAATGGTGTCTGATAATTGTCATTGTTTACAGTGTTATGTTAATTTTCTAGACGAAAGTTTTATTTTCTGTTTGTTTGTATAGCATTATGGTAAACTTCTTTCTCAGTGGACCAATACTATGGACAAGTTATTGGATTCCTTTCCATCGGACCAAACAGACTATAAAACACAATTGCGAACTCCATTGTCGATTGCCTTAACTACATTTTATGACTGGTTATCATCTCTTAAGGCAAGGTAAGATCAACATACGTTTCAGGAAGTGTTTATTATTCCCACTTTTTTTAAAAAAAACTAAACCCAATTAATAATAGGTCTTCAATTTAATTCCCCTTACTTATATACATTATAACATTTTTATACAGGAGATTTCAGAATCAATGATATAGTGGGCGTTCAGAAGTTTATTATATCTGGTCAACTGACCAGTGATTGTGCGTTCTTATGTTTAGGATGATTCGAAACTTGATTAGATTATCTATTTATCCACCTCAGTGAAATGATTGAGTACCCTATCCGTCAATTGTTCCTTGATAACACTTAGACACTGAATTGATTTCTATGGTTTATTATTTCATCCTAGTTAGCAGTCACTATTGATGAAGATATTTTATCGGTTATCTGAGCCTTTCAATGTATAGTGTGTACGTTTTCCGAATGGTTTCGAATGCATAATTATTAACGCAATCACATACATGGCCTACGTACTTCTGTATAGTTAGTGTGTGCTTTCACATGGGTAGAAAAAAAAACGAGATCGATTTCTGTCTGATTTTCATCATCTGAAAATATTTTCTCACCTAGCGGCTTGTGGTCTTTATATTTATTTCCGATTGTGTATTTTGTTTTCAAGTAACTCTTTGTCTCATTGAATGATTTAGTCATGTGGTTATTTCGAGGTCTGTTTTTTGTTTGTTTGTTAACACATATTGAGGGTAGATCTTTTTTAGCGTGTGTCCATTACATTTTGTGTACTAATTTCGAAGGGGCTTATGAGTAGTACACAGGGGATGTGCAGCAGAGCGTCGCTTTGAGGGTACGGCCGAAGATAGATGTGTTGGATATGGATTTATGGCGCTGTCTCTGTATTTTGAGGAATAGAAGGCATGTGGATGAAGTTAGCCAAGAATATGCTTGTTTTGAAAATGAATGTTTTATAATAAGGTGTAATTTTTTTGGCCGGTATATTGTATTCTCCAAATAAATTGCTTATGTAATCTGGTCTTCCGTCTTCGTTCACTGTAATATCCAGTATGAACCGTTACCTTTCATTAATTGCTCTTCGTATATGTCATTCTATCTTCTTCTTGATGTTAACCATAACAGACTGAACTAATACGTGTTTATACCAGATCCCATGTTGTTTTAATTTCTCTGTTTGAAGTAAAGTGTTTGTAATATCCTCTGTTTTCGGAGGATAAAATGTGTTTACTCGATATTTCCGTTTCTGCAATACAAGGTGTATTGTGTGATGGATTATCTAGTTGTTCTCTTGTGGTTGGTGACTTTAAGTTAATTTTCATGAAATTATTTTATTGTAGAATGGTAATTTCTAATTTTGCATTTTTACAAGTAGTAAATGTACCTGTATCTGAATATTCGATTTTGTAATTCTGATTATTTTTTCTGTGGTATTTCTTTTTTATGTAGACATAGTATGGCATTTTGGGTTGTAAATTGGCGTTCATCTATGTTTGATCACTTGATAGGAGAAAGCCATGACGCAAATATATCGTTGTTGGGCATGAAACAACGTGTTCAGACAGCTATTTACAGAGCTCAGGAAATATTGAAACCACTTCCACAGTCTTACGATGAGTTTACATCATCTACTACTGGTGATACTGATCGCTGTTTGAATGAGGTACAGTCTGATCTTGGTGTAATTTCAACGCCGTCACCCAACGAGTTTCTAGACACCTTAGATGAACTACGTGTAAGTAGTATGTCTGATTCTCTTTAATCGTTAATGCCACTGGTAGTTTGTTGTCTAATAACTTGTAGTTGATAAAGGGCTGTTATGAAGTTAAAAGCATAGTTAACTGATGGTTCCGAAGTCTAGCTTGATGCACTAACTCATCGAGTCAACGAAACACGTGTGTCCTGATCACATCTCTGGAAGAAACAATATGACAGGAAAACAATTTATTTCACGCAATCGAATCATAGTTTTAAAGTGTGTTGACCATAGACGTTGTTCCGTGGATTCACTTAAAGAAACTGATCAACATTTGTTATTGGACAAAGTGTTCAGTTACGTCCGTTCGACAGTCTTCATGACTTGCTTGAGGACAATTATTTTTCTTTGAAGTATCTGTACGTCGATAATGTCTGTCCATTTTCGATAGAAATGTCTTGACCATTTCTGAAACTACTGTTACTAATATACTTGATGTTTGTTATTTTGATATTTCGATGTATCGGAATGTAGCTTTTATCTTGCAAGTGATGTGCATCTAAAAGTGATCCAACGGTTGATAAATAGTTCGCCCTTATTCTTAATTTACCGAATTTCTGCAATCTTCATACAGTATAGTGTGCATGTTTCCCAACCGACTGTAAAATTCATTAAGTAATATAGGAATCGAGGTGAATAGTAATCGGTTAAAGATCCCTCATTTCACTTTGGTATAGTTTTAGGAAATAAACGAAATGAGAAGAAATATATTTATCACAGTAATTTCAGAATAAAAATTAAGAACTATTCACTGTTACTTGGTGTAGATCGGTTCCATCTCTTTCGAATTATTTCAACACAATTTATCGTACAAAGATGCAGCCAAATATTTGTGCACCACATAAATCAATGTGTATGTGTGAATGCGGGAGTGGAGGTACTACGCCGTGCCCAAACTGAAGCAGATGGTTTTGTTAGGAGTCAACTTTCTGAGCCTTTGACATACAGGTTCCATCTCTATAGTTATTTAACATAAGGGACTTTTTCAACCTGATGTGGTTGCTGTAGAATGCTATATGTTTTTGTTCTGGAAAAGGGTTAGCTTAGTAAAAGATGAACTGACTAAAATTGGAATTAAATTTTTTTGATGATTAGTTTGAATTTCATGTCATTCGGAGTAGCCATATTCTCGCAGTAAATGGAAATCTCTGTAGTAAATGATAATTTCCAAGTCGTGTTGCTAGTTCCCTTTTTAGAGCAACCTAATTTCTTTTCTTTTTAGAATTTAAGCGAAAACCTGTGGAACATCCAATCACGTTTGGGTTCGTGTTACTTATTCAATGACTTCTGGAAATTTTCCCGTGAATCAAACATTCTTGTAGAACATAATAAACAGGATACCTTTGATTATTATAGTAAGGAGTTGGATGCCAATGTATTAAAATGCGCTATTACCGACTCAATCAATTTTTCTTGTCAACTTCGTAAGCAAATTGTCAATGTGATGCGTGATTTAGAATGTGGAATGGTTACGAAATCCAATGCAGTTATGATCAAAACAAATCGTTTATCGATTTGTCATGAAAAACAACGTTTAGTTGATACACTTAATCCTTTTATTGTAGAAGAAGACAAGGAGGTAGTCGACAATACGATTTCATTAGATAACTCGATACCTATAGACAATATTTGTGTTGATGTTGCAGTTAATCATGTACATTCACGTTCTTCTCTTGGTTCAGTGTATTTCACACAATGTTCTCAAACTGATTTGCATAATTTACCCGATTTTATGACTGGTATCGATAGACGGCCATTCAGAAGATATTTCCTAGTATTTTTACTGCTTTGTATTGTATTTACTTTATTTGAATGGTTGTTTGGTGAACGTTCCGTGACTTCGTTCATGTCACCTGGTAGTGGTTGTCATGGTGATGGTCCAGTTGTTGAATTAAGTACAAGTCGTTTAGTGAAATATTTTACCTGTTTTCAACTTCCAAATTCAAACAATGTGGTTTGGTGATTTGCATTTACACATTTATAAACTTGTATATTTTGATTACTGTCATATTTATCAGTGTTAAAGTCACCTATCTTTTGGATTTTGTGTCCGATGCAGCTGAAATCATATGAGTTGACTTTTTCTACTTGTTTGTATATTTGCTGTTGTGTGGATGTGTTTTGCACAGTTTTAGTTTTCTTTTTTTTTATTGTTTTTGCTTCTATTCTGTGTGATTATGTTAGCTAAGATATATTGGAATAAAAAGCTTTTATTTCCTAGTGTTAGCATTTTCCTCCTGTATTATTGAATGAGATTGGTGCATCTGAGATGTAATTTGGGAGTGCCGTGACTTTGTTTGTGCTCCAGGTGTCTACTGTTAACTAACAATGAGATTCAGCTATGATTGCTTAGATACCTATGATCTCAAATCTTGCATATTGGTGCTGTCATAACCTGGATGATGTGCATCTATCCTGAATTATAAACAACTTCCCCCATACCTGTTAGACCAACTTTGTTCGTAGCAATGTTTAATCCAGTAATCGTGAATGTCCTTTCTTATCTCTCTGAAAAATGTTGTGTCCTGTGACTTTCTTCAGATATTAGGTTATGAAGAGAAATTCTGAGTTTCTAGGTCATTTATTTGTAAATGTGGTGAAGTATTGTTAGTCAGTAGATACGTTTGCTAATAGTGTTGTGTGAAAATACATCGTTTTAAATTGTTGCACTTCTCAATGGTGTACGGACTCCTAAGGTTTTCATCCTGTGTCTCCAGACAGAGTGTGACTAGAACCAACCGGTTACATAATTTTATGAACTGGTAACATATCCAAATTAGGTCTATGTTAACTTTTCTATCACTCTGTCTACTGTACATGAACAACGCCTTGGACATTTGTAGAAGAATATAGGTATAATTTTTTCGTGTGTGTTACATTGAATACCTTTTAAGCCCGATACATTCATGTTTGTTGATCATACTTAGTTATGCTTGCAAGTAGATCCAGAAACAGAATTTATCCAGTTATGTAGTGTTTGCTTGTTTTCATTGGTTGACTAAGTGATATCAGTTCATGGTGAGAGAAATTTCCAAATGAAGCTAATCACTTTCACATTCTTCTGACTGACAGTTACTGATGAACATCACAACTAAATTTCTGATCTCAATCTTGTTTAAATTGAAGGTAAATGATGGAAAGAAAATGAGGTTTTTGGGAAGTATAGTAGAGAAATACAAAAGTCCTTGAGACCATTTGTGTAAGATTAATTCAGTCAGTAACATCGATGAAACAGTTGTAAAGTAAGATTGTGCAACAACTTGAGCGCCCAATAGTTACAAGAGCTAAATAAGGTTGCTTGTAGTTTTATTTCATTAGTATTTTACTTCTGAATGCTTTTTGTAGAATAAAACACATTGTAATACCAGACTGACATAGATTCAGTTTCTCCTTCGAAAAAAGTATACAAAGTGAAACTTGACTGTATAGCCGAGCCTACCAAAGTAGCAACTTTCACTTCTGAGCATATGCTTCAAAGTATGATTTCAATCAGTGTTTGTTTGATGAATAGCTCTGTAGAGGATGTTTTTGTTTAGAACTAAAAGTCGCTGAGACCCGATCAGGAAAGAGTTTGTTTGACCATTCATTATATAATGAAATTGATGACCGAATAATATGAATGGTCTTATGATGCAGATCCTATCAGTGACATAGTTTAGTGAGGACTTGTGTCTTGATTCAAAGCAAACACACGACCGAATCATATGATTGATGATGTATTGATTGTTAAAAATACATGTAACCGTTTGGTTAAAGAATATAAGAACTCTTATCCACATGGTTTTTATACCACCATCTTTTAGTGCACTACCATATAGTACACAAATAATATGAAAATTTGCTACGAAATATTCACAATCAGATTGCAAACTTAATGATTTATTGATCTGTGAAAGGAAAGTTTGTGGCAGCCTCATTTCATATGCTTATTTACCTACGCCTGTTACGCCGAACGGAGCATAGGTTGCCGACCGGCCTTCTCCAACCTACACTGTCTTGGGCCAGCTATTCATTCTTTTCATGTCTGCTTCCATTTGTCGGCGTGATCTTCTCATTGGTCTTTCTCCTTTCCTTTGGCCCTGAAGTTTCGAAATTATGGTTTATCTTGCGATGCAATTTAGCGCTTTCCTCAATGTGTCCTATCCATGTACTTCAGTTGTAGAAATATTGGTTTTGCTTTACCGATCGGCGCCTTCACCTCTGCATCAGATCCACTTTGTTCATGAATGAGGCTTCCCAGATATGTAACGGCTTCTAGATCTTTCAAAGTTTCTCCGTCAAGTGTGATTTTGTTGACGCATGTTGTGTTGAATCTTTGGAACTTGATGTTTCCCTTGTGTATGTCGAGATCTAATTCTGATGAGGCTGCTGCTACACTGGTCGTCTTGTCCTGCATTTGTTGTTGCGTGTGGGTTAGAAGATACAGATCGTACACCTGCATCCTAGCTGTATGCTGTGTCTGACGCTAGCCCTGAATGTTGACGTTTTCATAACGTAGTCGACCACCGGGAGGAAGAGAAATGGTGAGAGTAGGCAACCTTGCCTGACATCGGTCTTGACTGGGAACTTGTCTGCGAGTTCTATTCCATGCACGATTTTGCAGTTTGATCCATCATAATAGTTCCGTATTATGTTGAATCTCTTATCAGGCACGCCGGGAATGTTGTTTGTTCCTGCTTCTTTACCACTCTTGATTTGTCTGATGGCCATGTTGATCTCTTAAATTGGTGGGTCAGCCTCACCTCGGAGGTCCGTGGATGCTGCTTCGATGTTGGGTGGGTTCAGTGCGGCCGGTAGATTCAATAGTTCTTCGAATCGCCCTACACACCTGTTCCACTGTTCTTCACTGTTGGTGATCACTTTGCCTTTCTTTTTTTCATTGGTCGTTCTGGTTTACGATATTTTCCAGTGAGCTTCTTTATTGTATCATACAATTGTCTCACGTTTCCTTCTCTTGCAGCCTTTTCCGCCGTTATCGCTAGATCTTCCTCATACTTACATTTTTCGGTGCTCTATCAGCTCCTCTCTTGGTTCTCACGTCGTCCATGGACCTTCTGAACTTTTTATTGATGCAGATATGGTCGATTAGTTTCTGTGGGGAGTGATCGGAAGAAATTCATGTGGCTTTGTGTATGCCTTTACTGTACAGATTACACCCTACCGTTCATTATTGTCTAGATCGAGTAAAATATTAGCAAAGCGAATCGACGCACATTTAGCAGTGTTAATCCCCAAATGAATATAGAAAAGGTCTACCCGTACAGAATCAGTCGCAACTGTAAACTAAAAAGAATAAGCGACCTGATTCATAAAATTCTATTAATCCTCCTTTAACTAGGACAGTATCTGACAAATGGGGGTGTGTTAAATTTGACTGTTTGGTGTCGTTGACGGAGGAAAGAATCAAACTGAGCAAGCAGACAGTCTCTGATGCCTTAAGTTATGAGTTTGGCCATAAGAAGCTGGTGTTTAACCATGTCGAAAGCTTTAGAGAAGTCAGAGTACAGCACTAAGACTAGATATCCTCGTTTCAGGTCATACAAGATCGATTTTAAGGGATCCATGTTGAAAATCAGTGATAAGTCTCTCAGTGAGGAAATAGTTGAATAGTTGTCTCCAACAACTTTTTCCATTATCTTAGAGATAACTGGAGTAATACTGATAGGCAGATCGATGTTCAAACAAATATTATCTCCTTATTTGTGACGTGGTATGATATATGAGGTTTTCCAACAGTAAGGGTAAGTATAAGTCTAGAGAGTGAATTTCTTCTGAAGTATTGGGATATTTGAAGAGAATGGATGAAATTTCTTCTACTCCATGACTGTTTGAAAGCTCAAGGGAGTTATTATCTTTACTGATAGTCAGACAAGTGGAAGAAATAGAATTTATTGAGTTACTCGCTGTCTACAGATTTTGTTATTTAGGAACTCATTATTGCTTTCAAAAAACACCGCTGAAACGTTTTGCAATGGCTTTAGAGTCGATTATAGATGTTCCATTATGCAGGTTGCACGATATATCTGCACTGTGGTGTGCCTTCTACAATTAATTTCGACAGAGATTCTAATTTCAATCAAATCTATTCCATGAATTCACTCATATTCTACGCGTCTATCATTTACACGCAACCGCTTAACTTTCATTGACGACACATGCCGATGTAACTAGATTGAGCAAATATTTACCTTTGATTTTACTAATGCTACGTTTTACAATCAAAGGAGATCTTCAGTGTACACCTGTACAGTTTATTTATGAAACCAACCTAACTCTATCAGGTCTGTTAATAAATTATCAATATGGATCTGTATATACCGATTCTGCGTCATCTTATGCAAGTTAGCGAGAGTTTAATTTCGTGCGAATTCCCGTTTCTCCGGGTGGACTCGGTAATATGTCCTTTGCAACAACCTTACGAAGGAGGTTGTGAAGTATTACAGAGAGGAGCAAGATATGTCACAATAAACTTTTAGTGGTGACTGAGTCGAGATTGACTATGATCACCGCTAAATACTATTTACTAACCCGTCACTAAGAAAATAAATAAATCGAGGGTAAAGTATGTATTTGCTTGCGATTTCGTGTTGTCGAAAGAACACTGAAATCAGACTATAAAAGATGGGCGAAATTACAGAGCTATTGGAGCGAAGAATTGCAGCAACACAAACAGGAAGTTTGCGCGTAGTGTTATCAACAAAATGTACAGTTAAACAATCACTGGTACGGTTGAATATGATAATGAATGTTTCTATTTAATCAATCGTGTTCTCTT